TCTCTGAGAGGATTCTAGAAACTAGACTATTGGTCACAAGATGCCCATCACTGATCTGTAGAGTCCTCAGGAATAACCCTCAAAATCCCTTCTCCATTTTCCTCAGCCATTACCACCTCTGCCTGACACTTCCTATCAATCAACTGTCAAGTCAAGGCAACGAATTGAGGTCAGTCCAACATTTTGTTGGGTACTTATATACTCTGTGCCATGCATGGTACTCTGCTCTGCATTATGCTCTGTTTTCATAGTCTAAGAGAGAAAGATATTTAAATGGACAGTTACTCTTCAGTGTAACTAGCGCTAGGCTGTAACAATGTCCTAGTCATCATCGTATCCCTAATCTCAGGCCAATGTCTGGCACATAACAACAAGACTGTTACAGTTAGCATGTATTGAGAGAGAACTATGTGCCAGGCGCTGTACTAAGCACTTTATCCTCAACATAGTCCTCATAGCAGTTTTATGAAGTACTAGCATAATCCTAGTTTTAAAGATGTGGAAATTAAGGCATAGAGCAATTAAATAACACACCCAAAGTCACACAGCTAGTAAAGGATAGAGCCAGGAGACAAATCCAAACAGAGTGACTCTATTGATGCTAAGTGTTTGTTGAATGAACGAACGAATGAGTGAATCAGAGAAAAGAAGGGAAGGAGGTGAGAGAGAAAGGGGGTGTGGGAACAAGGGAGCAAGCTAAAGTGAGAGTCACTTCTAGGTAAAATGGGGTACACAGGCAGGATAGCTTGGTTCTATTTGGGAGGGGAAGCAATCATGAAAAGCTTCATAAAGAAAGTGCTTAAACTGAATGCGCCAGATGAATAGGTCGTCACTGGCCAGGGCAGGGCCAGGTAGCAGAGCTAAGGCCAACCCTTCTACTTTTGTATTACATCTTTTCGCCTCTCACCTACTCAAGGATGTTTCTCCTACAGCTGTCCCGTCTCCACTACATAATTTCTCCTCCTCTTATTCTAATCAGCTTATAAACATACTAAAATATTTCCTAACCTCAAAAAACATCGTTCCCTGCTTCTTCCCTCCAGCTATGGCCCATTTCTCTGTCTCCCTTTATAGCAAACTCCTAAAAATAGTAGTTTATAGGGGCCAGCCGCATAGTGGAGTGGTTAAGTTCACGTGCTGCTTCAGCGGCCTGGGGTTCTTGGGCTCCTATCCTGGGCACCAACCTAAGCACTATTCATTAAGCTATGCTGTGGCGGTGTCCCACATAGAGGAACTAGAATGACCTACAACTAGGAGATACAACTATGGGGCTTTGGGAGGAAAAAAAAAGAGGAAGATTGGCAACAGATCTTAGCTCAGGGCCAATCTTCCTCACCAAAAACAAACAAACAAACAAACTATATTCCATGACTCCAATTCTCCATTTTCTTTTAAACCCAGTGAAATCCGCATTTTGCTCCCACACCCCAGTAAAACAGCCCTTTCAAGGTCAGAAGTAACCTCCATGTTGCCAAATGCAGGTGTCAATCCTATGGCCACACCTTACCAGGCCTACTGCAGTGTTTGACACAGTCTATCCCTGCATCCTTCTTGAGACACTTCCTTCCCTTGGCACTATGCTCAATTGTCATCACACTCTCTCCTGATTATTTTTCTATTTCATGGACTGCTCCTTTTAGCCTCTTTCAGTGCTGCTCCTCGCCTCCCAAATGTTGATCCTTAAAATGCACCCCTGGATCAGGACACTCTCCCACTGGAAGTCATTCAGTGACTCTCTCCTGTGACAGAATCCAGACTTGAGCTGTGTTCAAAGCCTCCACCCTCTGGCTGCCTGCCTGTGCTGCCCCATCTTTCACGTAACGTTTCTGTGGTGCTCTAGAGCGCAGCCAGCCCTTGCGAATGTCCTTTCTCACCACAGCCTCCCAAGATCCCTGGGAATCCAGTGCTTCCTGTTTGCAGATGAGGAAGCTGAGAATCAGATTTTCCATCACTGGCCAAGGTCACACAGCTTGCCAGTGTCCTCTGTGAAAATTTTGGATTCCACATCCTATGCTCTTCCCACTTACAACCCATTGCTTGGCCTGATTCCTTAAACTCGCTGCTTCGGAGTGAAGCAGGGGAGTGGAAGTCTGGTGCCTTCTTTTGGGTTCCAGTCTGTCCATCTGGATTTCCTCTTGAGAGTACAGTGGTTTACACTCTTCGCCCCAGGGGTTTGGTAGTCACGTTTGCAGGACAATGGGTGCTCTTAATGGTTGAAATGCTAAATCTCCCAAAATGAAAGGCCAGCTGCAGAGTATGAAGAGAACAAGGGCTGAGTGATTTGATCAGACATCTGTGGGGGCCTCCTGGCATTTGGAGTGTGAGTGCCTTAGAGAAACTAACTATTCTGGCCCAAGGGAGTTGGCAACTGTTAATCTTGCTGGTTTTGACCGCTAACTGCCCCAGAGGTCCCAGCCTGCTGTATGACTCAGAATCCCCAACACTCCCCCTATTCTTCTCTCACTGGGATAGTCAGGAGGCCATTTCTAAGGCATTTTAATTTGGTAATAATTTGACGTGGCCCACTGTACCCGGGGCTATGCTTTTAGAAGTTACTGTTGCTTTCTGAATGGAGGGTTGAAATGGGGAGCTGCTCATCCTTGATATCTGACTACCTTGCACTGTGTGGGAAGAGCCTTCCCTGCTGGGTTCTGGCTTCCCTGTGCTCCAGCTTGCCAGTGCTTCCTCTTCTCCATTATAGGTTACCTGAGTCCGTGGACCCTGGAGTGTCCCATGGCCCTTATTCTAGAAGCACCTTGGCAAAAGTTGGTGGTGTAAACTAGAGAGAGGAAAAATGTGGCCAAAGGTTTGTCTGTTGTTGTACATGCCATCCATCTTTCTTCTTCTTTGTGAAACTTTTTGGCATTCAGAAAGACCGCAAGAACCCACAGTACAAGGTAGGCAAGCAGATAATGGGGGATTGGGAGACAAGGATATGAGGGATTCATAATGCCTCACTGCTTGTATACACACTTTCAAAGAGCTGTGCGAGGCCTTCTCCATCCTCCTCTCTATCCAGTCTCTGCCTGCACTGACCTCCTGTGTGCTCTCCTCAGACTCTGCTTCCCTCTGTGATGTCTCTTACTGTGATACACATAGTGCCATGTTAAGAGCTCCTGCACTGGTGTTAGAGAGAAATGGGTTCAAATCCAATATCTACCACTTACCAGCTATATGCTCTTGGATAAGTCTCTTCATCTTTCTGAGCTTGTGTGTAAATTAATAATGAATAGCACCTACTCACATAGCTATTGAGAGGAGTAATAGAAAAAATCTATAATGTTTTAATCACCGTGACTAGTCCAAAAGCTTCCAGTAAGTTCAGTAGTTGCACTGAAATTTATATTTTGTTTCTGAAATCCAGTTGTTAAGAAAATATTGCTATGTAAATTATTTTGTTAAACCTTTGACTTTCTTTTGCTTACCAAATAAAGTCCCGATTCTGGCTTGTCAGTCAGCATTTGCATTTGCATTTGAGGCTTTAAATTTCATTGGTAGGGAAGGGTAAAAAAATGTAGATTTCTAGAAGAAATTACACACGGATAGAGATGAGTTTGTATAAATTCAATGAGCAATTACTCTGTTCAAGGCCCTGGACTAGGCCCACAGGGGCACATGAGTGAATCACGCAGGACACACAACAGACAGTGGCATGATCATTTCTGGCTATCTAGTACAGGCGTCAGCCCCCTGTCTCCCATACCCACCCCTCCCAGTCCCTGCAGAAGGCAGCCCTGGGGGAATTGCCACAGGGCCCCAGCACAGTAGAGCAGCTGGTCATCAGAGTGTTGGCAGCAGGCCCAAGAGTGGAGGCGGGTGAGGTTGGGACCAGGAACTGGCAACCAGCCAGGGCTCTTCAGGTGCCCCAGCACACAGGGCCTCTAGCCCCAGCAGTCACTGAATGTGTCCTGTTCTTTCGTGTGGTTTTCCCTAGACTGCAGTGGGCAGAGTTTTTGGTGGCCAGGCAGTGACTCCAGCCCCACATTGAAAACATAAGGACACTGAAGCCCATAGATGTGAAGTGATTTGACTACAGTCACACAGCAGCAAAGCCAGGGCTGGAACACACAAGTCTGCTGAAAATATTCAGCAATCTCTGACTTGTGGATTCCGAGATTGTCTTGTTTCCAGTCTAAGAGCAGTGAGACTGTCAGGGTCATTTTACTCCTTCAGAAAATTATAAGGGTCTTCTGTGTACCCAACTCTGTGTAAGGTACTGGGGGTGCAGGGTTAAATCAGGCTCTGACCTCAGGGGCTTACAGTATAATGAGGGAGACGTACTGCTAACAGTTACAGTACAGCATGGCAAGTGCTAATGGGGATAAGTACGTTATGTGGGTGGCAGGGAGAGGGACTGTGGGAGCATAGAGGTGGCACTTAGCCCCATCTCAGGGTTAGGGTATTACTCCCAGTGAAGTTGACATCTGAGCTTAGTTGTGAAGGACCAGTAGGCATAGCCAGACGGAGGAGGACAAAGAAGAATATTGCAGGCAGAGAGAATAGGTTGCAGAAATAGCCCAACTTATATTTGGTCTCTGTTCAAGGCCCTGAGTGGTTCCCACTGGCTGGGTCATAGCGTGTATGGAGAGAATAGAGGCAGATGAGGCTGGACATGTAGGACCATACAAGGAAGGTTGAAAGGGCAGTATGAGTAGCAAAGCCTGAGCAGCATTCTCGTTAGGTCTCTAAGCTCCACTTTCCCCATCTGGGAGCCTGGATGGGGTTCCTGATTTCCTTGGTGTCAGGCTGACTGCTAAGAATCTATTCAAAAGCCAGTGAGTTCCGTTTACCAAATTCCATTGAGGGGCCTTGCTTATTTATCTACCTATTCCTTTGTGATTTTTTCCCCCTGAAAGCTTGATGTAGAAAAGGGGCTAAAGTGCTGATTATAGAGAATGAAGCTTTATTCGAGTTTTAAACGCCTACAAGCCCTTCATGAACTAATAACCTGCTGACTGCTCAGTGCCTGGCAAGCTGTGACTTTCCTTCTCTTTCCATAGGCCTCCTGAGTTAGCCACCAAGTACGCAAACTTTTCAGAGGGAACTTGCAAGCCTGGACATGCTTCAGCCTTGATGACTGCCATCTTCCCCCGGTAAGTGCTCCAGTTTCTTCCCATCACCCAGACAACCTGGTCCATGGTCCAGCAGTCAGAGACTCTGCCCTCATGGCAAGTGATATGCTCCTGAGAAGAGGAGATTCTATTGTAAGTTCCCTTCTGTCTTCTCAAGTCTGTGGGTGCCTGGAAAGGACTTTACTTCTAGTTGGTTCCTACCCCAATCCTACTCTATGCCTCGCTACGCCTTACCCACTCTCCTGCTTCTTGGAGCTTGCACCTGCCAGCACAGCTTGTTTCTGTGAGGGGGAGCGAGGAGGTAGAATCTAGGTGGTTGCCACTTGGAAGCCTGGTATCCAGAAGCAGCCAGACAAAGCTCCCCAGCACAGAAGCTCCTGTCATACAATCAGTGTCCAAACTCTTTTGGAAGCTAGGACCAGCTTCCTGGCCTCAGGGAAGTATATCCAAATATAGCAGGGAAGAAATAGGAGTTTCTGAGGCTGACTGTTTTGACTCTTTCCTTCTTTGTCTATTTTGCTTTCTGGAGTTCCTGATTTCCTTGATAGTAGGCTTGCTGAATGAAGCTGTGCCAAACCCTGGGAGTTCCTTTTACCAAATTCGCTAAGAGGCCTCACTTACTTATCTGCCTTTTCCTTTTGGGTCTTCTTTTCCTGCAGCCTTAGTGTGGAGAAGGGCCTGATGTGCTGAGATTGTCTTGTCTGCAGTCTGGAGTGCAGTGAAACTGTCAGGATCATTTTGTACCTTTGGAAAGTTATAGAAGTGTCTGATGTGGAGGGGCTGGAGGAATGGCTGCTCAGGACCCTCCAAGACTCAGGATGTAGCGCTTGGACCACCAGAGGAGCCTAGGGGTGGCCTCTTGGGGTGGGCTGTTCATGGGGGAAGGGCTTTCACCCCATCCTTTAGAAGGCTGAGGTGAGGGCACACAATGTGCTTGCAGAGGAATGCTGAGAAACAGCTTGCCCAAAAGGAAACCCAGGATATTTGGGTTTTATGCTCCTTTTCTTTTTCTGATGTGAACGGTCCAAGCTTAGCTCCTGTGTAAAACAGGCTCTGCGGCTGAATATCTGGTGTTCAGATAGAGATCTCTTTGTCCAGGGTCTGCCTTCCGAATTGATTCCAAATATTCTACTTCCCCCAACTATTTATTGAGCTCCTCCTCAGTGTCTGGCTCCACGTTCCATATTCTTACACGTGTTTTCTCAGGCCCTCGTGACTCAGTCCCCTGGGCCAGACACCTGTGAGTGTCCTTGACCTGTATATAGGTTTCTTTTACATTTTCTAATTGAAAGTAATACAAGCATGTGGTTAAAAAAATAAATAACTCAAACACTACAAAAGGGTATGTATTCCCACTCCAGACCCCTTCCCCAGAGACAGCCAATGTTACCATAAATGGGAACATACTGTATTTATTGTTCTGCATCTTGCTTTTTACTCCTAACAATGTATGTTAGAAATTATCCCATTACCAGCATATATAGTAATCTTATTTCTTAAAGATTATGCAATATACAATTGTATGGATATATCATAATTTTATTAAAAGTAAGGCTTACTGAAGCTTAATTTACATATGGTAAAATTTAGTTTTTAGTGTAGTTGTATGAGTGTTGATAAATGCACATCTTTGAGTAACCACCGCAACAATCAATAGAACGTTTCCATCATCAGCCCTCATCAGAAGTTCCCTCATGCTCTTTTACAGTTAACCCCCCCCCGACCCCAGCCCCTGACAACCACTGGTTGGTTTTCTGTCCCTGCAGTATTTCCAGAATGTCATAGAAATGGAGTTATATAGTGTGTAGCCTTTTGAGTCTGCCTATTGCATTTAGTATAATCCATTTGAGAGGCATACATGTATTGTGTATATCAGCTTTATGTTCTTTTTTATTGCTGAATAGTATTCCATTGTATGGATGTAACACAGCCTGTTTATCTACTTAACAGTCAAAAGACATTTGTATTAATTCCACTTATAGGTAATTATAAAAAAACCTCTATAAACATTTGTATACAGGATATATGTTTAACTTTATAAGAAATTGCCAAACTGTTTTCCAAATTGACTGTACTATTTTGCTTTCCCGTCAGCAATTATGAAAGTTCCAGTTGCTCTACATCTGTGTCATCAGTGTTTTTAATTTTAGCTATTCTAGTAGATTTATAGTGCTATCTCACTGTGGTTTTAAAATGCATTTTACTAATGACTAATCATATTGAGTATCATTTTCATGTGTTTATTTGGCATTCTTTTATCTTTGAGGAACTGTCCAAATCTGTTGCCATTTTTTAATTGATTGTCTTCTTATTGAATTGTAAGACAACTTTACATATTCTGGATAGAAGCCCTTTGCCAGATAGGTGGTTTACAAATATTTTCTTCCAGTCTATGGCTTGCCTTTTCATTCTGTTAACAGTGTCTTTCATAGAGCAGTTTTTAATCTTGCTGAAGCCCAATTTATCAACTTTTTCTTTTATGGATTTTGCTCTTGGTGTTTTATCTAAGAAATCTTTCCCTAATCCAAGGTCAGAAGTTTTTTTCCTGTTTCTTCTATAATTTTTATAGGGTTAGCTCTTATGTTTAGGTCTATGACCCTTTCAAGTAATTTTTGTATATAGTGAAATGTTAAAGTTAAGGTTCATTTTTTGCATACGTGTATTCAGTTGTTCCAGAACCATTTGTTGAAGACTATTCTTTCTCCATTGAATTTCTCTGCCATGTTTCTTGAAAATCAGTTAAATGTATGGAAAGATATATGTGGGTCTGTTTCTGGATTCCCTATTCTATTCCATTGATCTTTATGTCTATCCTCACACCAATATCATACATACATAGACAGCCATGTCTTCTGTTAATAAAGACAGTTTTATTTCATCCTTTCCCATCTGGATGCTTCCTATTCCTTTTTCTTGCTTCGTTGCACTGGCTAGACTCTAGTACGATATTGAATAGATAAAGTGAGCGTGAATATACTTGCCTTGTTTCCAATCTTTGGAGGAAAGCATTTAGTCTTTCACCATTATGGTGTTAGCTGTAGGATTTTCATAGATACCCTTTTTGAGATAGAGCAAGTTCTCTTCTATTTCTAGTTTATTGAGAATTTTTATAATGAATAGTATTGAATCTTGTCAAATACTTTTTCTGCATTTTTTTAGATGACCATATATGGCTTTTCTTTTTCAGTCTATTAATATAGTGAATTACATTGATTTTTTTTTATTGATTGATTTTTTTAACGTTAAACCAACGTTTCATTTCTGGGATAAACTTCATTTGGTCCTGATGTTTTGTTCTTTTTATATATTGCTGGGTTCAATTTGCTGATTTTTTTAAGCATTTTTGTTTTTCCGTTCATGAGCAATATTGGTCTTTTCTTGTAATCTTTAGTTTTGGTTTCAGGTCAATGCTGACATCATAGAATAAGTGGGAAAAATTCCTTCATCTGCAGATTTCTGAAAGTTTTGTGTAGAATTGATAATATTTTTCCCTAAATGTTTGGTAGAATTCACCAACAAAGACATCTAGGCCTATAATTTTCTTTATGGGAAGGTTCTTTACTAAGAATTAAATTTCTTTAATAGATCTAGGGCTTCCCTATTTCTATTTGAGTTTTCCTGTTTCTTCTTTGGTAGTTTGTCTCTTTCAGGGAATTTATGCATTTTGTCTAAATTGTTGAATTTATTGGCATAAAATTGTTCGTAATATCATCATTATTATTTTAACACCTAGGATCTCAAGAGTGGTCCTTTCTTTTATGCCTGACATTGGTAATTTGTATGTTTTCTCTTTTTTTCCTAATCTGCCTGCTTAGTGGTTTATCATTTTTATTGAGTATCTCAAAGAACTAGATTTTAGGTTCATTGATTTTTCTCTATTGGTTTTTTTTTCACTGTATTCTTGTTTTCTGCTCTTGTCTTTATTATTTCCTACCTTCCACTTATTTAGGGTTTAATGTGTTTTTGTTTGTTTGTTTGTTTCTTAAGGTAGAAGTTTAGACCATTGATTTGATTCCTTTCTAATATAAGCATTTAATGCTATAAATTTCCCTCAATAAACTGTATCAGCTACCTCCCACAAATTTTGATATTGTATTGTTATTTTCATTGAGTTAAAAATTAAAAATATTTTCTAACTTCACTTGTGATTTATACTTTGACCCATGGGTTCTTTTGAAGTGTTTTGCTTTAATTTCCAAATGTTTGAGGATGTTTCAGATATTTTTGTTATAGATATCTGGTCTGTTTTTGTTGTGATCAGAGAATATGCTTTGTATGATTTTAATACTTTTAAATTGACTGTTAGGATAAAATATGGTCTATCTTTGGAATATTCTGTGTACACTTGAAAAGAAAATATTTCTGCTGTTATTGGGTATTCTATAAATGGCAATTAGATTAGATTGGTTGATAGTGTTTGTCAAGTTTCCTCTATCCTTACTGATTTCCTGTCACTTACTAACAGATGGATGTTGATTCTCTATCAATTTTTGCTTCATGTATTTTGAAGCTCTTCCCTTTAGTGCATATACATTTAGGATTGTTGTATCCCCTTGCTGAATAGATTCCTTCATTATTTTGAAATGTCCCTTTTTGCCTGGTAATAATCCTTGCTCTGAATCTTCCTTTGGTTGATATTAACGTAACCACTTCAGTCTTTTTAAAATTAGCTTCATCGTGGCATATGTTTTTCCATCCTTTTACATTTTTGTGTGTTGGGGGGAAAGAGTATATTTGTTTTTACACTTGAGCCTCAGAAAAGTTGGGTATTAGGGCTGGTTGGCAGCAGTCCATCATTTTACATCTAACCTACCTGTCTCTTTATGATTAAAATGGATTTCTTATAGACAGCACATAGTTGAGTCTTGCTTTTTTATCCAATCTGACAGTGTCTCCCTTTTATTGGAGTTTTTATACCATTTACATTTAATATAATCATCAATAAGTTTGTGTTTAAATCTATCATCTTGCTATTAGTTTTTACTTTTTTCTTTTCTTTTCTTTTCCTGCCTCCTTTTGGA